ATCAGTGAATATTCTGTTTTAATTACAGATGACATGAAATTTCACTCATTAAATAGTGTCAAAAAGAGATTTGAAATAAAAACAAATTTTGTTTTTCAGTTCTTTTTAAAGCTTTGTTTCAATTTCAGTTTTTTGTAAAAATTTAGACTATGATCCTGTGTCCTTATTTGCTGCCATCCTGTTTGCTTACTAGGATCTACCATACTAGGTACACCTAGTAAGCAAACTTTCATGTGACAGTAGCTAATCTTTAAGGCATGGAAATCTTTCTACTTTCTCCAACTTCCTACATAATCACAGGGTTCCTCTCAACCCCTATCTAGTTTGGTATTCTTGTATGACAGGTAAGATACAGGTGACCTCTTCCAGATCAATAGGATCAATAGGTCTCTTGCCTCATCTCTTCACTTTCTTCCTATTTAAATTAGGTGGCCTGACCAAGCAAGGGTCAAGAACCTACCACGTAATGGAAAGCCTTAACAGTGATTAAGAGCCAGGTAGGATAAAATACAGAAGTGTTGACAAACCCTTCAAATACTTGGAAAGATTTATTTTTATCCATTCATCACCCTCTAGTAAATCCTCTAACGGGATTTACTAGAAGATGGGAAACAGAGTGGCTTAAATTCCCTTTAAGCCACTCTGTTTCCCATCTTTAAGATTAGTTTGGTTAAAACAAAAAATAATAATAATCAAAACACTTAGTTCATTCTGCTATGACAATACATCAATTTTTTTAATGTAATGACTAGTTGTTTAATCATTTTACTTAAATTAATTAATAACTTATCAATACTTATGCATAAAGTCTAAATAAACTATTAGTATGATCAAAAGTTTAACTCAACGAAGTGATAGAAATCACATATCAGGCTGTGAAAGTGAAGTTAAGACATTTTGATTTTTTCAAGAAATGACTGGAAAAATTGTTCTAGAACATTCAATGTGGGTATATAAATAGAGTAACTAGAGGAAATTTCACATATTTTATTGAAAATAAACATATAAATGATGTCTGACAATATGAAACTTCAGAAAGAACATAATCACATACTGTCATTTTATCACTTCAAAAGTTGTCACAATGCAATGAAGGCTCACAATCTTATCTACAAGACTTTGGCAAGAACACAGTCAACAGGCAGACCTGCTACAATAAGTTCAAGAAATTCAAGAATGGAGATTTCTTGCTTCAAGATGAACCCCACCCAGACAGCAATTCCACCATTAATATTTCCAAACATTTTCCTGCAACTGACAGACAATAATCCATGTCTGACCACAAAGAATTAGCACAACTTGAGTGTCCCATATACTCCAAAAATTGAATAAGTCCAAAACCACCATGACAACATGCCAACCCACAAAACATTAGAGAAACGACCAGTCTGGACTGGGCAGTTCTGCCTCATCTATCTTACAGCCCAGAGTTGCCTCAACTGACTACTATCTAATTTGCATCCTGCATAATCAAATTGTCAATATACAGTTCAATAAGAAAACCAATGGGGGAACAATGCTCAAGACATTCTTCAAGAAAAAACCCCAGCCATTCTATGTTCATGAGATTGCAGCAAAGGTTGTGAGATGTGATTGACATTGATGGTAATTATCTACAAGACTAAACTGTAATTATCATTGAGTTAATTATCAATAAAAAATTTTCAAAATGTCTAAATTTCACTTTTACAATCTAATGTAAGTTTGCTATGCTTCTATGATGATATCATTTTAATAGCCAATATTAGACTCCCATTTAATCAAGACAAACCTTATGTCTATCTAGTAACCTTGGATATTATCATCATTTAATGTTATCAGAATTATCATGCCCCAAAATATAAACATAGGTTATAAACTATGCTTTAAGACTGCTTATAATAAGTTTTGGTTATAATTTGGGTAAACAGGTATTTTTAGTCTTTTTGTGTTAACAGTCTCAACATGTAACTAATAATGTAAAATTGTTATCAGTCTGAACTAATACTTTTAAATAATAATCATTTTAATAATTATTTGCTTGCAGTACAGTAGTTTAAATTGCTAGTATTCCTACTTTAATTATATACTAGTTGTTGTTAAAGATGATATCAAAAAACATGACTTCAAATTATTCAAACTTTTTTTGAATCAAAGTTTCTTGTAATCCTTGAATAAAATTATGACATTATTGTATATAATATCACCTGTTCATTTATAAATATGTTAATATTATGAGTTATTACTTAATAATTTAAACTATACTGAAAAAACTGTCAGTTGACATGTAATTGATGAAAATTTAACTAAATTATATTCAAACCAAGACTTGAAAATAATGTACAAAAGAAGGTTAATTTCTTCAAAAAGCATTTTGTCTAGTTCTATGAAGAATTCATTGTCTTGAGTTCGAGATTTGAAAATCATGTGATCTGATGAAAACAAGCTCTATTAATGACTAAAGCTATAAGAATGCATTCTATTGTGAATACACATGTGTATTTAATGGATTTTGAAATTATTGAAAAAATAGATTTTTGCGGAAAAATGTCCAAAATAATTAAATGCCAAACAAATTTCTTCCATAAAAATAAAAAAATAAAAAATCTCTTTCTTCATTGGCAACATGTACAATGTCCAAATGACCTTGAACAGATGTCCAATAAATCAACAACAATGTATAATTTGTAAAACCAAAATTACCACTTGGTTATAGAAACTTTCTTACAAACATATAATATGATGGAAGATTTCAAATTAAACAATATTTTTGAGGGTCACTGGACTAGATAATAACTTCACATTTCATTGTATTTATATTTTGAATTATCCAAACTAAAATATATGCAAAATTCTATTCTCTTGACCTGGGACTAGACTTGACTTTGAATTATCCAATATCGAAGTAATGTATTATGAAGTAATGAATTATCCAATATCAAAGTTTTACTGTATATAAAAACAACATATTTGGAAAATCACTATCTAAGATATCACATAAGCAATTTGTAACAAGTAAACATTTAAGTATTTTTATTTTAGTAAATTGAAATTAAACAATAGAAAATAAGACATAAGAAAATATATTAAATATTTAAAAATTATATCATCCAAAGCACAGAAACTTTACTCTCTTAGATTTTTGGTTGTGGATTTTGGTCATAAAGAAACAAATCAGAAATGGTTAGTTGGATTGTGTGCCAAACAATAGACATTGCAAATAAAGATCCTTTCTCTTCATAATACCATTGCAAAAGATTAATGAAAGGTGTTGTAACAAAACTGATGTAGCCATTTCTTATCTTGACACCCAATTCACATCCAAAGTAATCTTTATGGAAGGCCTTTATTCTTTCTGTAAATTTCTTTCATTGCTTAGAGAGTATAATGTCTACAAATATAAGAAAAACTATCTAGGTGGTTGGTACATCTTTACTTATTCATAATAAACTGAAATGATGCCAAATATAAATAAAATACAAGAAACATACTAGAAACTAAAATTCAATTGAAGAGTTTAGATTAAGAACTTAGTGTAAAAAAAGTGTTCAACATCAATGTAAAATGTGTGTTCCAGTTACAAAAAATAGTAGCCAATCAATGCATATATTAGCATTTGTACTCATATACTGATATATGACACTACTCAGTTTGACCTGTTTGATAGTGTGTATCTGTTAGCCATAACTTTGAATAATTAAAGGACTTCCATTGTGCTATTTTAAATAAAAATCTGAAAATATAGTTTTCCAAAGATTCATAACATATTTGCATACAGTATTTTTCCAAGGAAGTTAATGTGCTGGATCTAGAATTTGTATCACCTCCACCATAAGCCACAAAAATTCTTTGAGATGCAATGATTGAATTTTTTTAATAACTTCAAAAATTCAAACATTACATACATTATATGATGATGTGTGGCATTTTGTATTTTATTAAATATAGGAAATTAAACATATCTTATAATTTTATATATATATATATATATAGAATATATATATATATTCTATACTGTGATATACTTATGGGTAAATCACCCCCATATGTATCCCACATTTGGGCATTTGTATCCCTCCCCAGAATCTTTAGGAATAAAATTTAAACTAATAAAAAATATTTGTCTTCAACAACAAATCTAAAATGACATTTATTACAGAATAATTCAACATCAATCAATTATTTCAATTTGTATTATAATAAAAAAATTAAATGTTTGATTATAACACAGAATTTTAGTTAATTTATAACACATGCAATCATATCCAATGAATTTACAAAGTTTGTTATTACAACTAAATCAAATTGAATAATTTATGTTAAAGATATTTATAAAATAAAACATTCAAAAGTATGTAATATAAAAATTTTTCAAGTACAGAAAAACCTTAGTTTAATTGACCTCATTTTAATGGACAAAATTTCTGATCCTTATGTCACGTGAAAAATGACATGTTAATTTTAGAATACTTTTTATGTGTAATTAAATTAACAAGTTATTTTTTCAAATCCATGGGTCGCATGCCATGCTCTTAACTTCACATGGCAATGGGAATGTCTTAATCTATCATCATCTGAAGATGAATAAATAGGAAATTTTTCCTGTTTTTGTCAAATTAAAATTTTGTTTTCTTTTTAAAAACATTACTTATTTGTTTAGTTAAATACAATTAAAATGTATTTTCCAAAAAATATTTGCTTATTTATTTTAATTTAAATCATATACTTGTTTATTACAGTCTCAGAACTACTGTAAGTACATAAGCAATAATAAATATAGAAAACTTTACTATAAAATTAAACTTCTCATATATAATTAAATTTAATTACACAAACATTTCGATATATGTAAAAACAGATAAAATAACTAATTTGTCAATTTTTTAACACACATTTGGAAAACCTACTTTATTATATAATGGACTTTCAGTTTTAATGGACACCCCTTGCTTAAATCAGTCCATTAAATCAAGGTTTTACTGTTCTGTTATTTCTAAAATATTTTAAATACTACTACTAACCTGATCTACATTAGTCTGTTTTGAAATATTTTCAGTTTTATTTTGTACTTCAACACTCGTTGCATTTCCTAGCCGTTCCTTACACAGATCATCTGTTAATGTTTTTTCAGTATTTGGAAAGGCACTTGATTTTGTAGTTTTATGTTTATTATTAATTCCTTTATCAAATGATTTATCTGCCTCATGAGAATCTATCTGAACTTTTTGTTTTGACTTATTTTCATTTACAGTTTGATAAGAATTTTTGCTTTTATATTTATTGTTATTACTGTGTTTTCGTTCTTCATGATTTCCACTCTTGTGACTGACTTTATTCTGTCCATTCACTAATCCTAATTTTCGATTTGAATGTGTCCATACTCCATCTTTAGTAGTAGTGTGTTGTTGACCAGAACTTGAATTATTGCCATTGTTATGGCTAGATATTAAACCAGATCTGGAAATTCCAATTAAATGCTTTGGATCAGTAACAAGGTAATGTTGTACTTGGTTAAAATCACCTAATGTGCTCTTAATGCGCCTAGTGGTTTCATCTTCCAAGGAAGGATCCACCTAAATAATAGTAAATTATAATTGTAAATAGAAAAATACAAATATATCTGTAATTAATTAATTAAATAATATATATATAACAACAGTTAATATAAAATATTCTCACAATAATGAGGATATAATTCTTATTAAACTTTCTAAATATACAATTTTAGTTTTATAGAAAACATTACATTTTTAAAATGCAATATTTCTTAAGCTTTTATAACCATTTCATTACCATCAAGTTGATGAATTGGTCAAGCAAGGCAGATATCATTGTCACCTTGTTTCCTACATTTGACACCTCTGAATTTCTTCTTTTAGAGTTTCATTAAAGATCTAAGTTATTTCTAAAAGTATGCTGCTTTGAGTTTGACGAGAAATTGAATTCATGAGGTATGTCTGCTATATTACCAATGGTTCTTATATCAAACCAAAATGACTGAGGTAAAACTTAGATGCGTTTTGCTATAAATTAACTCTCAACTGATCCTATGTGTCTTCTGGTTAAAATTCTGTATGTTTTCAAATTTCTTTTTGAATTCCCTTGTATTTAAAAGATTAAAATAAATTTTGAATTTAAGCTTAAATCCTTCTGGACAATAATTAAGAAGGGTAAAAATATTATCCAATAATATCGATTAGCAATAAAATTAGTGATTGAGACTGGTTATTAATTATACAGTTTATTTTTATAAACGATAGTTAAAAGTTACAGAAAAAAAAGGGCAAAAGCGATAGTTAAATAATTGTTAGTTATTGAATTTATAAATATAAAATTCATTTTCTTAAAATTTATGAACAATAATATATTTTGTTTTATTTTATGAAAAAGTAAAAGCACTAAATACAGTATTTTATCTAAATTCAAAAAACTAAATAAAATAACTAAACTAAAATAAAAACTGATGTTATTTAAAAAGATGATGATTAAATTAATTAAACACTAAACTTTTGTTTATAAGATATCAGATATTCTTTTACAATATCAACTAATTTAACTGACTTTCTTTCTTCATACTAAAATTTGAAAATGACAGGAATTTTAAGAATGTGTTTTGTTGGAAAGAAAAAAATTTTTGAAAATATGTCCAAAAATCCAATTCCATTTACTCTAAATAGTATCTTATAAAAAAACAATAAAATTACAACAGTAATTCCAATTATTGCAAAAATTAGTAAATATGCTCAAATTATAGAAAAAAAATACATAAATTACTTTTTAGAATTAAAATTTACAGTAGAAAAAATTTGAGCAGTATCTCATATGCAAATGACATTAGAAAATGTTCAAAATTAATTCAGTATGACCCCACTTAATGATGTCTGCTCGAAGCCTAAAAAAAAGCCCAAAATTTATGCTGAATTTAAATTATCGCAGCATTTCATTGGTTCATACATAATTACATAATATGATTATTTATGAACACGAAACAATCAGAAAAGGGTGGCAAAAAGGTGTACTTTCTTTAAATCTATGTTTGTTTGGTGCAATTTTGAAAAAAATATATCATCATGGATGCCATAGGCAATATCGGCTTCGCTTGGCAAGAATTAACTGATAAATGCATGAACGAAGTGTTGAAGAAGTTATGGCTGAAGGTATCCAAGAATTCTCAACAGGAAGAGCCTATCGCTGTATAGTTAAGTTGATCAAACTCAACCTAATTGATACAGCAAGACTAAGAGATATAAATGAACAGGATATTGAGGAGTTACCACAGGTTTCTGGTGCGAGTCTTTATCAACAATGACCTTCAAGAACTGGCAGAACAGAAATCCATGTAGAACTGGAAAATAGTGATTCTGAAACAAAGAACCCAAAAAATTTCTCTACAGATTTCCTTAGTAAAAGTTTGGTAATGATAGCCAAAATCGTTGATCAAATTGTAGTGAATGATCCAGATTTTGAAAGGAGTACAAAATAAAACGAGGCATTTTTGATGCAATCTTCTTCTACTGAAATTTGTTTAAGGAAAGAAAACAGCAACAAATAAAACTTCACAACTTTATGCAAATAACAAGAATTTCAGAAAAGTTAAAACATTCGTCACAAAAAATGAACTATTAATATAGAAAAAATGAACGAATTAATATATTATTATACATTTCTGTGTGCATATGTTTATGTTATTTAACATATATTATTATATGTATTAATATAAAAATAGAAATAACTTAAAACTAAAGTAAATTTTCTAATTTTTGGTTGTGTGTTTCCCTATCCATATTTACTCTATGTTAAAATGACCTCATTTAACGCTGTTTCGTTTAGTGCTTTGTTGTCTAGGAACACATCCCCCGCGTTAAGTGAGGTCTTATTGTATAACTATGTTTTTCAAAAAGCTGTTTATCTGAAGATGGAAAATAAAAATTTCTAAAAATGTTTGTTAAGAAAACCATAATTTCTCCTCTGTAGGTATATCTTTATTTAGTTAAAGTTCAAAATAAAGGCTTTTCAGTTTATAAAAATAAATGATCTTATTATTAATTCCAGAACTTTTTGTAATATTTTCAAAAATAAATATAGATTTTAAGACTTAAGAAAAAATAAAATAGATAATGCATATTATCATTTTTAATTTAAGTCCAAAAACTTTTTGTTCTGATAAAAATAGGCTATTAATATTAATAATAATAATTAATAAAGCATTCCAGGCAATTTACAGGTAAGAGCATCATGTTACACCAGGGGTGTCCAACCCGCGGCCCGCATGCGGCCCAAGGCAAGTTCCAATGCGGCCCAATAAACGTGTAAACAAAACCGACAAATGTTTTAATTTTTTATTATTTATTTATTTGAACGGCATAAACTCAAAAAAAAGTTTCACAAAGCCGTAGACCTTTATTCATATTTTATTTTTAAGTAGAAAGAAAATATTTTCAAATACTGTACAGTACTTGGAGATGTGTGAAAGCGGAAGGATTACTAAATAAAGCTGGAGTTGTGACTCAAAGGATTATAGATCCAAATTTGGGAAAAGGAGGGAAAGATGAGAAAGGACAAAAGATGTAGTAGTGAGAAACGTTAAATAGATCTTCTGTTAAGCAAATATGGACCCGTAATTTTTCAACCTTTTTCACTTCTTTATCTTTTGTCCTTTGCCTCTTTTTCCCCGCACTTGGGTCTATAATCCTTTGATTCACAACTCCAGCTTTATTTAGTATTTCTTCCAACGTTGCAAGATTTGGCTACATTGGGCCAAATGTGGCTACTTTTTTTTGTTTGACGTAAAAAATATCATTTGGCGCTTTGGCTACTTTTTCGGCTACATATTATTTATAATTATATTAATTGAATAAAAATGCACTTTAAAATGGTGTTTCGTCGCTTTTTATTAATTAGAGACCCAAATAAAACAAATATTCGTGTTTTTCAAATAAATTTTCGTTTGTCTCTTTTATAATAAATGAATTTATCTATTTCTAAGTAAAAATTGAAAGTGTCTGTAGAAGTAATTTTTTAAAATATCCTTTTTCTTGATAAAGTTTTAATACTTGTTATTATAATCTAAACATGTTAATCCTTAAATATACTTGTATATTGGGCCACAACTATATATTATATGTATTTGTGGCCCAAAACTCCTTGACTTCTTCCAATGCGGCCCAGAGAAACAAAAAGGTTAGACACCCCTGTGTTACACTGTAAACAAAAGTGCACATACACTCAAGTGCCAGATAGTATTTTTGCTTATTTTTCTGATTTTAATTTATATGGAAAATTCTGGTTTATTTTACTGTACACAAACTATTGAAGACACTAGAATATAGAATAATTTGATAAAAATTAGGTTAATAAACTTTTTAATTACTGTAAAAGTTTGAAATAATTAGACAGGCCACTATTTATTAAAGTTATTATTTAATTTATAAAGAACAAGAAAAGAAATAACATGAAATGAGAAACTTATAACCTTCAGATATAGGTTATCAGATAAGTCTAGATCTTAGAACTATATCTTTCTAAAGCATATTCTTAAGAATTTAGATAAATCATGCTATCACATTATTATTTCCAGTTATACTAACTACAGAAAGATCATTTTGGCACATGCTCAAAAATATTCAAATCAGCTATAATTTACATACATTAGTATTGAATGTAAACATATGTATAACAAGCATCTGATTATACACCTGATAATAAGTATAATCAATGATAACTATTCAATACTTGAAAAACTGGATTTAGTAAAGTATAAATAATGAAATGATACCAGTAATATTCAGAAATTCACTACATAATAAGAAAACCAAATGTGAGAATACGGGCAAGGGAACATAGCCCTCTAATCATCAAGTTGGTAAAACTCACCCACTTTGTCTTTGGGATGGGTTTTTTTCGAGTGGCGAGGGGGTTGGGAAAGTCGACAGGTGTCCGTGTTTTGGAGTGACAGGAGACAGGTTTTTAACGGACAACAACAAGAATTTATTATATAACTAAACCTATGATACATAAAACTAAGTCTAAGTTAGATGCGGTTAAATGAGGTTACATATATACTCCTCTGGAGGGGATTGACAAAAGTTTCTAATCAGCTTGCATGCTGACCTAATGACCTAGCTCTGGTATTACTTCCGCTGAGAGAGAGTTTACAATAATCTATAGATACCTCAATATTCGTTGGTCAGATTAGATGATGTTCATTTGATCAGAGAGAGAGGAATTCAAAGAGGACTGGCGATTGTATGGCGGGTCTTCTTATCATTGACTTGCTTGGGCCAAAACAGTCTGTTTGTGAAGGTCCACTGAACTTGGCACCTAGTCATTGATTACTCCGTGAACTAATTAATCTATTCACCTTCCTTTGGACTTCGTATGGGACGACCGCCTGAAACTTCAGAGTCTCCACCTTTTATGCTTGATGCCTGGGAAAAAGATCATGTGATCGACTATTGACATGTCAAAGGTCCATTCCCAGGTGTGGGCATAGGTTTCTTCCGATGATGTGTAATAGCAGCCGTCCCTCTTTCACAATTGAATGTTTTCCTTTTGCCATCTTGTTGTCAACATT